TATATATATATGTACATGTGTATATATATATAGTGAATGGGGAAACAAAGTGGAACTTCATCTTCAGTGACGTGTGCATATCTGAATATACTCACCTTTGAAATATCCCAACTTTTATAATTGGCTGCGCAGGCTGCTTCAGCCGTTGAAGACCACATCTGATGTTTTGATAACAAACACGTGAGCAACGAACAGGTATACGAAAGAGAAGAAGAAGAAGATAAACAGCCGTGTAGAATGAAAATCAGTATATACACTGTATATTCTCAGCAATTATACAGGAAATGAACCAATACTGGGATCCTATCAATGCATATTGATAAAACATAAATACGTGTTCCTCCAATGTGGTATACGAATCTGGGACAAGCAAGACACATACAGATTAAGCTACACGACTACAATTCCTTCCGACACGCACGCACTCACGAGCAGTTGCAGATATCGATACACACCTTAAGCCTAACATGGTGTACGTGTAGGTGAGCTGTAAGCTGTCAACAATTAGACCATGTGCATTATATCATTTAAACCACTTGTGTATGTATGCAGTAGCATATGCGGTTTTCAGGCCTTCTTTTCACACACAGCTTCAAAGTATGTATATTATATCGGCCATGTATATTGTCTGTATATATATATAGATATATAACACGTCGTATGTATATTATGTATTTACTATTCTACTCTACTAATAGAGAATATTTTACAGAACACGGACATTTGACTCGAAATGACACGGCGTTAATGACTCGTCATATGATATATGTACGACGAAGTCTGGCGGCTTCAATTTCGAAACCTAGTTATCCTGGAAAGTTCAGTACCTTTTCTATTTATAGATTTTTGGTACGTATTCATGGGCTTATATTTATTTATTTTAAATAAAATAGGAGTTGCAAAATGCAAGTTGCAAGTTGCAACTATTTTTATAAAAAGCCCTATTTTCCCCTTTTTTGTTTTCAAATCCAAAAAAAAACAACTTTGTTTTGTATAAAATAAAAAAGTATTTTTGTCTAACAAATTTTTTGTTTTGAATAAAATAAAAAAGATACAGATTGTGTACAGGAGGCCATTCAAAATGCCAAATTGCAAATAGAAGTTGATATTTTTTAGATAAATAAACTTGTGGGAGTCTTCTTGGAAGTTGGAACGGAAAGAAATGAGAATGGTTGTTTTTGGATTTTCCAATTCCCACCCTTGAGCAGACTATTTGTCATATATAGTATGCGCAATTCTTTTTGTTTTCTTTTTTTTTAAAACAATACAACTCAATACTCGGGACTCGGGAGTTCCAATAATAATATTTTTTTAAATATATTACTGAAGAAAAGGAATCGTGTCATATTTATTCAAATCTACAATAAATAAAAGGGTTTTTATTATAATAATAAAAACGTTTTACCAGAGTCTAAATAAACTGCAATTTAAAAATATCAAAGTACATTTGCACTTGTGTAGAACTTGAGGTTTTTAAATACACCTATTTTGGAAATAAGGATCAAAGCGCCATATTTTTTGGCGCCAAATATCTAAGACAATATTGGTAACTATATATTTATGCACCTGGTTTTAGTTATATAGGGTGCACATATAGTGTAAAAGTTGAACGGAAACGCTTATTCATCCAATCTGAAAAAAAAACGTTTTTTTAAACGGGAAATGGATTAATGTTACACAGTTACGGTCGGGCGGGCAGTGTGAGTCGCTAGTGACTTTCTCTAGTCACACTACTACTAGAAGGCCAGTTTTGCCAACTTTATGAAATTGTGAAAATAATTTCTTGGATGGAGTAAAACACCTTACTCCGGCAACTAAATTGTGTATTTCATATCCTCGTGCTGAAATTAAGAAGCGTATTTGAAATTCTGGAAAATTTTCAGGACAATTTGAAACATGAAATTCGTTCAGATTGTCCCGTTTGGCAACTTTAAATTACTAGACTGCACCAAGAAATTCTTCTCAAAATTCGAAATCCAGAATTTTCCTCTAATAAGTGAAAACGAGGGTCAGACAGCGTTTTCCCTTTGACAAGAGATATAGACTGTTCTATTTCAAAATTTACTCTGGCTTTTTGAGCGCGCACTTTTGAAATCACAGTATATCACATTTTTATGTATGTACGTAAATATACATGATGAACAGATTCTAGCTGTTAATTCCAACCAATGGATGGGGCTTTACGACAAACAAAAATAGAATTGACAATCACCCACTATTTCAACGGACTCGTGCGTTTGTCAACTGGAAAATGGACTTTTTGAGGAAGTTCTGGGCTGCCCTACAGCCAGAATTTGTTGGACTGGCTAGAATTTTTTTAAGCGAATACTGGAAAAGAAATTATCCGAAATACAGTCTACAATTCCAAAAACATTAATTTCCTCAGAATTTTATAAAGTTGGCAAAACAGGCCTAAATAGTATATAGTATAGTCTAGACTCTCTCTCTCTGGTCTCTCAAGTCTGTACTCTAGTATTTAGATTCTACTAGACTCTCTTATAGTCTCTCTCTACTATGTAGTAGAGTAGAGTGCGTTTACGTTCAACTTCTATTCCGTAGAGTTGAGAGTCGAGACAAGACTCCCAAGAGTCGAGATTCGAGAATACACGACCGGATTGAATCGAAAATCCAAAATATATACTTGATCATTGTTTTTGTTTTTCATATAAATAAAAAGGTATGTACTCTATTTGTAGAATATCTTTTAAAAATACACCACTGAAATTCAATATGTACAGTACACTGTACACCGTAGTCCGTACTCCGTACACTTCCCGGTGTTCACTGTTCCCGCGGACCCGCACCCGGCACTGCCGGCAGTTGGCCGCAGGTGGCCTACTACTCTCTACTCTCTAGTAGAGTGAGAGCGGCTGGCGCTGTGGCGGCTGACGCAGTTCAGCTGGCCAGCTGACTATGGTTTATATATTTTATACAGTTTGTGTTTTGTATAGTTGATTAGTTGTATTTACACTGCTGTTGCCTGTGTAGACTGTTGGGCGTTGAAGTCTGTATAGACATATGCAGTCTGTTACATATCTATCTGTAGGCAGATTGTATTCTGTTGTATTGTATTGTAGTTGTCAACTTCTGTACCTCTCTCTTTGTGTTGACAGTTGACACATCACATGGTGGTGACTGTATGTTCACTGTTCTGTGTTGACTGTCGAGTGTTGACTGTTGAAACTGTTGTTGACTGTTGTAGTGTCTGACAACATGGTGTGTGTGAGAGCTGTGAGCCTGATGCCCTGATCTCTGAGACCCTGGAGTCTGGTCTCACCAGTTCACTCAGAGTCTGAGACTTGAGAGTTGAGACTTTGAGAATTTAAGAGTTGAGAGTTGAGACTTGACTCTGCTCAGTCTGCTGTGTATTGTAATTTATAGCCTGTGCCCTGCATAAGACTATAAGACTATGAATATGTAAGTGTATAATACTGCTTGCCTACATTTACTCTCTATACTGTATTATTTACTCTATTTTAGTATCTACTCAGTGACAGCCATATGATGAGCCGATTTACAATTGTAATTTGAACACTAAGACTTCAAGAATCAAGAAAAGTCAACTCTAAGAGCATACACCTATTTTTAAACTCAAAAAGCAGCAGTTATATTAATACAGGTTTTATTACAGGAGTACAAAGTGAACAAGGTCCAGGCACAACACATGTTGCACACATACTCCAGGCCAAGCATGACATCACTAGGAATGAGCACATTAGGTCTATTGACCGTAAATTATTGGTTGTTTCTATACATTCGTCATCATAAACAAAAATCGTTTTTTTTTCAGCACGCTTTTTCACTTTTTGTCATAAATATTTGGCTTTTTTTTATGCGATCGTTCATCGAGATCAAAGTATTGAACTAAACTACAACGAGCAAGGTGTGAGCTCATCGATACACGGGGTGGTTGTCTACGGCTAATTGGCTACATTTAGAGTTTTGACAATACCTATTTTTGAAAACGTATTGTCGGCACAGAGTCAAGTCGTCAACACAAGCTACTTGCTAGGTAGCCTGTTTCTAAATATATAAATAAAAGAGACACGCTCGGCCTTTATAGTCAATAACATCATAAACATCATAAACAAACGTAAGCTCATTTCGCAACAATCACACATATACGTCAACTACACACTTCGCATCAACTACACAAAACCATTCAACATGCTTTCCGCTGAGGAATCAAGCATAGGTATCGCCGGTAGCGATGTTAATTTTGTCGAGCGACCGACTGCTTCTAAGCCATTCTACAGAGTATGCATGTTTGATATACTGAAATATGGCGTGTTTATGGCGTGTTACATGCGATATATATACTCAGTACAGGTCCTGAACTTTTGAACAGATATTTATGTTTTCTGCCGAGGATGTTTATATGCTAGTTTTAAATGTAAGTGTAATACATATGTTTATATGCTAGTTTTAAATGTAAACTTTTAATTGTAAATTTTAAATTTAAGTGTAAAGCTAAGTATATGTGTAGTTTGTCATAAGGGGTACTCATAAGGTCCAATTTTTGTCAGTGTGTCCTATTTGTACATACCACATGGTGCAGTTTACTTACCAGCAATGGCGATGTGTAGGGTCTTCTTCGGCTTGTATACTACAATACTGCGCGATCCTGCTACGAATGATGTACAGTATAGTCTGCCGACATTGATAGATACACATCTTTTGTGATGTGACAATTCCCGTTCGTATGTGCGGGCTGGGCTGACGTGTAAACACTTATCTATCATCATTCCACCCATCTCCTATTTCACTCGCGTACCTCAGAAGCGGGTGTTCACCATCGGTATGTGTGTGCTTGCCGTAGCTGCCATATGCTGCGCCATAGCCATCCCGTTGTCACTAAATAACAGCGATGGAGACCCGTCAATAGCTGAGGCGTCTAGCTCCGAAGCGGACGGTACTGTACCACCCGATGCCGTTATACTTGACTCGAACTCAGACCCGGCCGAAGCTGTTGAAGCTGCGAGTAGTAGTTCTAGTGCCAGTAGTGATAGTGTCAGCACTGTCGTGGTCAGTAGTAGTGAGGCTGTGCCGGTGACTGAGGCACCCAGTGCCGATGCTACGGTCGTTGCGAGTAGTAGTTCTAGTGTCAGTAGTGATAGCGTCAGCCCTGTAATGGTCAGTAGCAGTGAGGCCGTGCCGGTGACTGAGGCACCCAGTGCCGATGCTACGGTCGTTGCGAGTACTCCGGTCGCCATAGAAACTGAACAGGTATGGAGTCATTTTTATATGGGAAGACTATGTGTACAGACACACGCATACAATCACGAACACACACATCTCACACACGCACACACACACACATATGGATATATATGTGTGTGTGTGTGTATACATATACATCTATACAAATATGTGTGTGTGTGTATACATATACATCTATATATATATGTGTGTGTGTGTATACATATACATCTATATATATATGTATGTATCTGCGTGTCTATGTACATAAATAGTATATGTTTATATGTATATATATACATATACACTAATATATCTACAAGTATATATATATGTATGTATATAAATAGTATATACATATTCACATGATAAGATATATATGTACATATGCATATACACGTATGCGTATACAAATGTATTTACGTGTATAAGTATATGTATGTCGCTATGATTTATGCCGTGTATGTAGGAATTGATATCTGTTTATATATACATTCATATTTCTCTAGACGTGGGTTCATCTGTATCAGTATCACAAGCACGTGTCGGCCCAATCATAGTGCGATACCAGCTAAGAGTGTTTTACTACGCCGTGTATGTGCGTCTAATACACATCTTCTAACTTATGAACCAGCACGCCCGTACACACGTATGCCTATCTTCATTGGAGACAGTGGGCTATAGTTACAGAGTGATCATCTGTGCGTACACCTCTGCTCCTATGAATTTATATTTTTATTCCGACTGGACATGTATGGTCGACTGTAGTGAGTGTATCCACAATTATGGCCCGAACATGTCAGTCATTAATACGTACATGTCCATCTACTAGCACGCGTATTAATAGCGTGTTTGTATGCGCAAGTCTGCAATAGACAGCAGATCACTTGGTATCGGATTCTATGTGCACACGATAAATTTAGTGTGTGTATGTATGCATATATATGATATATATATATATATATACTAACATACTCTCATACCTTGATGCACAAATATACATTAAAGCCATCTGGGAGAATATACTATATAGACATACACTATGACTTGGCCGCCAGGATAACGAGGCAGGGTTGTTCAATCTTATGTTTCAACCCCTTTTTTCCACTTTGATGTACGGAATCCTTTCGTGACTCTCGTTGATATATTTATGTGTGTGTGATCTCACACCAATCCTACACGCACACGGTGTACTTCTATACACACACATGTTCTGTATCAATCCAGGGTGACTAGACATGCCATAGCATTCGCAAGCGTCACACACCTTCCGTTTGCTACATAGCACCGGTATGCCTATACCGTACGAAGCTGTCTATTTAAGGGATTGCCTGTACATGTACGTGTCAGATAAACACACACATTGCTGTTCACCACACTCAGGTCAACGCATCGTCCACCGCCGCCAGCTCGCTGGGACTTCGGACACTCATCTTGGCCTCGAGCGACTTTGGAGCCACGGTGTCACGTAACATACTGAGTGCATATGGGTCCCCTCACGACGTATACATTGGGTCTATGCCAAACTTAACCGAAACACCAAACAAGTGGCATAGCATCGTCATAGCCGATAGTGGTGTGGGTACAGAGATCGATGCTGCGCGCGCGTATGCAAAGCTCAATGGGGCGCGTATTGCGGTACTAGATTCCATCCCAAGGTAAGCACACAGTATCAACACGTGTATATATCAGGATTTCTACAGTTGTATGTTTGTGTATGTGGATGTGTTTATATGCTATCATCGTCTGTACATACATATAGATCAATTTTTATACACGTGTATATATTAGGATTTGTACAGTTGTACGTTTGTGTGTTTGCGGGTGTATTTGTATGTTATCATCGTCTAAAGTACATACGTATATAGATCAATTTTTATACACGTGTATATGTCAGGATTTATACAGTGGTATGTTATGCATGTGAATGTATTTATATGTTATCATGCCTGTAAATATATACAGATCTATTTTTGTACTTATCATTGTGGAGTCATATATATATATATATACTTAGATGTCTAGCTATTCTCATTCTGCTGTATAGTATGTCTTATCCCTATAATTTTTAACAGTTTACCTTATTATAGTTTGTTCTATAAAAATTGTCATATAATTTGTATCAATTTACTTTATCTAACTTGTCTAACTAGTCTGATTCTGATTGTCACGTTACACCTGCAGTCCTGATGATCCGGTGTGGTATGGTGTGCAGGATTCCGCACAGCCTGCCATGATCCCGAATGTCACCTTTGATACGACAGTGGAGAGCAAGATCCTTGCTGGTGAGTGAGTGTGTTTGGTACAAGGTTGCTTGTAGTGTGTGTGTTTGGTACAATGTTGGTTGTAGTATGTACATGCCCTTTGCACTTCCCCATCCCATACGCAGTGTACGATGCTTACCGTATGAAAAGTGTGTGGTTGTTAATCTGCAGTCGTGTTCCAGGTATTGTTCGAGCATGTAGACAGATATAACTCTACACCCAATTCATTAACAGTTACAGGACACCTTCACAGTCGAAGACAATATGTCGTTCTATTTATATAACACCATAAGTCTATTTGATTGGCGCATTTTAACTCAGGTATCACTCCCTGCGATGCCAACTGGAATCTCACTGCGGTCAGTCCATTGGCCGTGACAGTGGTTGATTCCACTATGGCTACCGGTCTCCTGAAGTATCAAAACGGGACATCGCTTGACGGCAACAAGACATACGCCGCTTTCGTATCGAACACAATGTTCGGCACCCAGGTGTGGTTGGTTGTACAGGCGCTGTTGAGCGGTTGTATTAGCTGAAACTTAATATGTTGCCGTCTTGTATTTGTAATGTTAGAGATTGTAGTTTTGTTTATAGGCTGTAACATCGTGTATATATATATATCTCTCTCTCTCTCTCTCTTCAGCAGTACATAAGTAATCCCTTATTCCGCGTGCCTGACTTGCCCTTCTCCAGAGTTCCACTCACTTTCTTACATCACCTCACAATTGTATGGTCTTCCACAGGAACTGCATCTCCGCTTCAGAAACTACTACGCCGAGATACTGCCGTCATTCAGTCCTCAGTCAAACTTTGAAGATGACCATTCTATCGTCAACATCGCCGTGGGCCATGTGTGGTACGAATGGGTCACCAGGTACTTCTATAACACATTTCTATGCAGTCAGATATTGGCATTTATGTTTGTACTTTGGGGTTTATCTGTACTGAAACTTGGGTTTGATCTCTACTAAAACCGGGGTTTACGGACTGTCCATCGTTTATATTCGAGTGGGGCGTGTGTGCTACGAATGAAGCACCAGGTATATACATATACACACGAATGTATACAGGAAGGGGTCTGTATTTCTGGCTGCTGGTTTAGACTCTTGGTTTCCGGCTGTTATCCCTGACACCAACAAAACCTTCTTCGCGTTTGTCTGCTGTATTTGAGTGCCTAGTATCCTTCCTTATCACCAGATGACATCTTATTGACAGGTGACACGTTCACTATTGTTATTTCTAATCATCGTACGCTATTTTTCCACACTTAAGGGGGGTATTTTTGGGGGCCAGGCGCATGTCCCTTAACATCCACGTGGATGATTGGTACGCGAAGAGTGCTATGCTAGACACCGGGGAAGCGTATCGCATCAACCACACCGACATCGAGAACTACGTGAAATGGAGGCACGAGTTTGTGAACACTCTACCGCGTGGATCATCCTTCTATCTCGAACCGGCTTACAACGGTGTGTGTCTGTTTGTGTGTGTGTCTGTGGCTGCTTGCTGCTTGTATATCCTTTGTTCAGCACTATTCTCACACCCCACTCAGCAACCCCTTCGTCACACGCATACATCACACTTACACACACCCACACACACAGGCGCTGCGGTGGCTATGTACAACTACAACGACGTGGGCAATGACATCAACAACTCAACGTACATTAACGCGCACGAGTTCTACTGGATGCAACACACCTGGACTCACGCCAACATGGACTGGTTAGGCGATTCACAATGCGCCGAGGGCCACAAAATGTGCAATCCCAACGCCACGCATTATGATGCGGAACTGGGCTACAACCAGAAGCTGGCACGAGGGGAGGGCATCAACTCTTCGGATTACATGTACCTGTACTACGGCATGCCTAGTACACCCGCTGGTATGTTGGCGGATATAGTTTTGTGTGTGTGTTTATATATATAGATTTCTATATTGTGTGTGTGTGTACGTATATGTGCTGGGGAAAGTTGTGTATGTCATTCAGGGGGAATATGCATGTTTCTAAGGGTAAACCGACCAAATTGTGAACAGTGGGATAGATAATCACTACATAGGCACGTACACATCTAAGACAATATGGGGCCTGTACACGTTTACACAAAGCGACTTGTGTGAATCATCGTTCCTCACACACACCACACGGGTGAGTTGCATATGCACCATTCGGAATTGATAGCGAGCATGCACTGAAATTGACATATGCGCCTCTTGCAAACATATATACACGCATATACACAGACACATGGGTACAAGAGCTGGTTTTCAACCAGTTTATTTCTCAGAATGGGTGGAGAGTGTCCACTGAAATATGCGTATGCGCTATTTGCAAACAAATATACACGTATACGTATATACACAGACACATGGGCACAAGAGCTGGTTTTCAACCAGTTCATTTCTCAGAATGGGTGGAGAGTGTTCACTGAAATATACGTATGCGCCTCTTGCAAACATATATACACATACATGCATATACACAAGACACATGGGTGCAAGGGCTGGTTTTCAACCAGTTCATTTCTCAGAATGGGTGGAGAGTGTCCACTGAAATATACGTATGCGCCTCTTGCAAGCATATATACGCATATACACAGACACATGGGTACAAGAGCTGGGGTTTAATTATTCGTACATTTCTCACAAACCACTCAGGCGAGTTTCTGAACAACCGACCGGAATTGATGGAGAACAACTACTCGCCTCACACCCTCATCACTCCTGAGATCTCCGGACTGTGGCCCGCCAGGTGAGTGCATGCATTAGCATTATGGTGTAATCTATCAATAGATTTAAGGGTTGTGTTTGATTATTAGGTTACAAAAGGAGGAAGAGGAGGGGGTATACATTAGCGGTAGATTGTGTATACAGTTTGGCGTTATTGTACTTGCTATTGGTATGTTGTGTCAACAACAGAGTAGTGTACTGTACTTCCTATTGGTGCGCTATATCATCAGAGTATTGTATTTCACTTTCTTTTGGTGTGTCATATCATCAGAATGTGTATTGTATCAGCACTTGTACATAGTATCGACAGAGTTGGATATTGTAATATGCTGCAATTGTTCGTATTCCGGAGGCACATCTGTGCTATTTGCTATCAATGCGCTTTAGCGCGAGACTATGAGAACGGTTGCACCCACCCGCCATCCATCTGCAGCTACGATGAGAACATTCCATGTGGTTCTATGTGCATACTCCTACTCACTTGTATTGCTTTTCCTTCTCATCCGTGTCCATTCTGGGCATCTATGTCTGCAGCTACGATGATAACATTCCATGTGGTCTATGTGTATACTCCTACTGCACTTGTATTACTTTACCTTCTCATCCGTGTCCATTCTGGGTGTCTGTCTATGTCATCTGCAGTTACGATTACAACACTATACGTGATCCGACGCGGAAGCCGTATCTAAAGAATGTCGAATTTTTTAATGCGCTAGTGCGATGGAATATCACCAATGTCGTCGGCGACAACTCAAGGTAGGCACATCAGTCTGATTCATTGGGGATCCATGCATGTATATGTATTTGTAGACTTATGCAAGTGTATGTATATGTAGACACGTGCATGTATATGTATATGTAGACCCATTTTTGTATATGTATATGTAAACGTATGCATGTTTATGTAGATCTGTGAATATATATGCAAATGTATGCATATGTGACGTACGTCAACCAACCCGATCATTGATAAGCATGGTTGATTCATAGGTGCGTTGTGTGGATCGGGATTGTTCACTCGCACTCTGATACGATTCAAATTTCCTTAGTGTACTGTTATCTTAGCAAGTGCAAGCTAGTCGGTTTCAATAGATCAAGGCTGAGGGTGTGTGAGACGTGCGTGAGTGTGCTTAAAAATGCGCACGAGTGTGCATATGTACTACTAATTGGCCTGAGTGAAGATGCTTCTAATGTGAACGAGTGTACATACGGACAACCAATTCGCTAATGTCTCCCTGCAGGTGGCAATACTAAACTCGATCTCACAGGCACTGCCACACACTGTCTGTGTCAGAAATATTTATCGGTCTGTGTATCTCACCTGTTCAGGTGTGGGGATATTGATAGCTAGTTCGATAACAACACATGCACGCGTGTTAAACTGAGATAGAGTATGTACCATCTGAATCCATTTTCACTTCATATTTATATTAACAAACGTCGTATATATGATTGGCAACCATGCATCACCTATTCATAAGCGTATCCGTCAGACGTTCTCGTTACCACTACTGGCCTATGTATCTTTCCACGGTGTATGCCCTCAGCCCTCGCAGAGATACGTTCCTAATCGAGATAACCCTCTGTTGTTTGTGTTCATAGGCCTGAGCTCAACAACCCAAACGTCTACCACGCAATCATCTCCACAGAAGCCGAGTATGGAGTGGACGGTGTCATTATAGTGCCCCGGTAAGAGCATTGTCCGTGCACATAAACACTCGTTTATGCATTGTGCATCTGTGTCCGCGCTAACGTAAACCATGCACGTGTAGTGTATGGTTTATTGTATGTTGATGAATACGTTCAGTCTAACAATCCAGTTCACGTTTCGGTCCATATGTATACTTTTCTGACGAACTCAACGTATTGGCAATCGGACGAAGTGTTTTCGTTCACCTACTCCTCTCGTCACCAATAGAGCTCAAAACGGCATTCCCGTTGCGGTTATCAATTAGTTTTGTCCTACAGGTCAACTACCTCTTACTTCTAGTACAGATCTTAATGGCATTTGGATAACTATCAGATGTGTTGCATGTGGCATATGGATAACTGCGCATGATATATTGGTATTTGCCATATATATATATATATATGTGCATATGTATATATATGCATATGTATATTTGTATATATATATATGTGCATATATATATATATATATATATATATATAAATATTCGAATTCAGGACATAAAGTCGGATTATATACCTGTACGTAGCACCTCAAGCTCGGAGCTCATCTATGAAACACCCGCGTGCTGAGGCATATCCAAACTCACGGCTTGGTTTAACACTGTCAACCGTATCACTTTAAATCCTCAACCCACACGCTTAGCCCCCTAAATTACTAGAACACAACAACCACACAACTAAAACCATGGTTTTTCCTCGCCGTCTCCCACAGATGGAGCCCCAACGTCGCATACAATTGCAACACCACGTCGTGTCTCGAGGGATACTACAATGCAGGTGCGTGTTACCAGATTCTGTACGGCAGACCCTCCGAGTGTGCCGATGGGAACGTCACTGCCGAGTACATGCTCGTCCGTGAGGGCAAGGCAGCTACACTCCCGCTCATCCAGCTGCGATGGGATCCCTACATGTTTCACCAGGTATGTCAAGCTAGTCTGTGTGGATGTACGCTTGCGTATGTGTAGAGTATGTTCTACAGTTACATATCCCTACATGTTTCACCAGGCATGTGTATGCTTACGTATATGTGTAGAGTATGTCCTATGTTTGCATATAATAGACCCTCTGGTTGATAAACGTATCCGTGTACCTGGCAGTACCTACTTGCCAAACACTCGGTAATACTGGCTCTCCTGCTCTGCCTCTAACTTGTTTTTAACACGCATTGATTCACGACATGCTAATCTTTGGACAACCAATTCTCTTTAGGTTTTAGGTGCTACGAACCGACCACACACCCTTCTGTACACCTCAAGTGGCCACACACCCATGCATAGTACCACTGCCCGTTTAGAATCACAGACGTATCCTGTCCACGCGCTAGCACTGGCGCAATGATTCGTTGACACTGCTTTTCAATTACTAAACCCTCGCATATCCAAACACACCCACAGGCTAACGTAGCTGGTATGGAGTACAGAGGAGCATGGGTACCCATAGTCGGTGTCTTTACGCAGAATGCTGTGGAGGATACCATGCGCTTTGTCTCGGGACTACCGTTCGTTTCGTACAAGTTCGACGATCTCTCGCGAATGTACCGTGTCCGAGCAATCCGCGAGAGTTGCGATCTGGAGGGCACTATCGAATTCGATGAGAGGTGAGCTTCTTTATTTATATTATATATATATAGATGTATATAGATATTGATATATATATTTGAGATATGTATTAAGGCTTGGCTCGACATGTGTTAATGTGTAGTTAATATTCCAAATACTAACGGTATATATTCGCCGATACTTTTCTACAGCGGCACTCCCTTTAACATCAAAGTACACGGCAACGACACGTGCGAGCGCGTTGTAACCATCACCCAGACATCCAACTTGCACTTTGATGAGTCTGAAATCATAACATTATACGGTCCTGATGAGAACGTAAACAAGAATGGCACTGCTACGACCGACTCAATGTTTAAAGTCAACGGATTCTGGACTCACACCGCACACCCGAACACCACACTGTCACCAATTTGTGACACCTGGAATGCCAGTAAAGTTCCAAATATGGCCGAAATAGTATACGCGTAGTGCGAGGGCGGACGGTGAAGATATAGGGTTTAGTAATTTAGTTGATATGATGTAGAATAAATTGTAATTTAGCTTTTCATCTTGGCAACTGCTGTTATTTTTGAGCCTATCACTACTGTTGCGCTCGATGCGACTAATATTTAGCAGTGTGAAGGAGGTACCTTGTTGTATATTAGCATATCTCATATTTCTTTAAATATACACAGGAGTACTTTTTGAGTGCACGAAATTGGATCACCACCTTGTGCAGAAATGATAATGCATCAGTATACGTGGGTGTTATCAATGCTCATCCGTTCTCACAATTTGATCAAGCTGAGCATCAGCGTCACGCCGTCGCGTTCCAAATATGCTTTGATTTCAGTGCTAAAGCCAAAACTTATAACGATGTCACGGAGAGGCTAGAGGCTAAACATGTTGAGTAACGAATGCACGCGGACGCCCGTAAATTTTTAACTGATGTGCCAAGGCAGAATTTATACGTTGCTATATGTACTATGCACACAAGTGCAGAGGCGAGATACAAAACTGTGAGTCTTTCTTGTCATGTGATAGTACTGTACAATTGTGCGACAAATGATATTGTCACGGCAATAGCATGAAAACAGTTCGAGTGGGCAAGTGGGGGGGAAGGGATCTTTTGACGAGGTATTACAAGCAGACTCCAGAAAGTGAAAGATGTACATTGATAAGTTCATACCCGGTCTGGTCTGCAGCTTAATCTTCCAACTTCCAATAGCAAGCACAACCAGATTGGCAAACGCTCAAAGAAAGGCTCGAATCTCGGATAAAAAATACCTTCGTATCATTGAGTAGGCTGTAAAAGTGCATATGAAGTTGCATACCTATGCTGGATAACTAATCGAGTAGAATGAGTAAACGTGTAAAATGTTAAAAGTATACCACAAGTGGCTCGTACACAATCCGTGTAGCGGTATGTGACCGGTTTCCGTGTCAGAACCCCAGATTACCAAAGGTGAGTGAGACTGTAAAGGAACGAGGCACGGCTCCACGGGGTTTGTACACACATGTTGAGCATACCGCAATCTTTGTGCTATTATTATAGATTGGCATCTCATTCCTTTTTAAAAAAGCGAAACTCAACTCCAGAGTACCAGATTCATCGACCAAATTTTATGAATTGTATAAAGCAAAACTCAGTCGCTTTCCTGACCAAAAGCAGGTCTCTGTTTTTTTTTACCCCAGAACAACAGTCAAACATACTGCGTGGCTCGGTGGTTCCTCGTGCACATTTATATTTCGAAAAAGTATAAACCATTACATAGACGTACATACCCTACTTCGCTTTAGTAAGAAAGTGATTATAAAAACAATACTATGTACGTCTACATACCCCGCCACGGTATTTATATATATATTTGTTTTTAAAAAACAAATCAAAAAAGTAAATCTGTATTTGTATTCACTTTCCAGTTTTAGTGTTTACAGTACTCTCACATATTATATCTCTCGTCTACTTCTACTAAAGGAGAGGCAATACGTCACTGATTGCTAAGAAAATAGTTACAGTTCATTGGCGTATCAGATACTATTTTAAAAAAGCATTGTTTTATTCAAACACTCATGATGACTTTGTGACTCATGAGTCATGACACTGGACTGACTGGAGTGACTGCCACTGACTGGACAGTGAGGTAAGTCCGGCTGTCAACTATCTGAGTGTCTGCAAGACTGAGACTCTTAAGTGTCTGAGACTCTGAGTGACAGGCACTGTCGTCTGTCAGCCTGTTGTGACGACTAAGTGACAGACTGTCGGCCTGTCTGACTGTCAGACTGTCAGACTATCAAGCCTACACCAGAATTCTGAATTTCTGGCCCCTTCTTGTCAGTCGTCAGAAGTTCAGGGCCTCAGACTAGAGGCTCGGGGCCAGGCCTCTAGTAGGGCCCTGGGTTGGTATACGACAACGACATCCACGCCTGAAAAAAAACTAGTCGCGACATGTATGACATGTCGTCTCGATATGTGTATGTAGGCTACGATACAGTCACCAGCAGACCTGCTGACACCATGTTGCGACCGACATGTCCTACAAAATGTCGCCGCGAGTGATTGTGTGACTGTGTGTCCGTGTGACTGTGTGTCCCTGCCCTCACTGCCGTCTGGGAAGCTAGGAACTGGGAAGCGAATATTGAGTATAAATAATTGGTTTTTAAAATACATCTGTTGGTCGAATGGAAACAATTCAATAATCATTCTGGCTCTGGCCCTCAGCTCGGAGTTTCGAGCGATCCCTCGAATTGGCCGAAGTGGAGAAATTTTTAAACAAATAGTTTTACAAAAATATCATTTTGCACACAGGCGTATCCTATTGGACTGAAAACGCGGGAATGCTTTGGATAAGTAGGATAACCATCAGACATCACAAGCCAAAGTGCTGTAGATAACAAGAATAAATAAATACCAACAATATGTAGACCCGATTAACCGGTAGCGGATGAAGGATAAAGCAAACACTCATCCAGAGCATGCATAAGCATATTACAAATAGTAAGTGAATACGGACTACTTATTTTACAGTATGTAGAATTGTAGATTATACGATAATTCGAACAGGAATACTGGAGAGTGAAGTAGGGGTTCTGAATTGCAACTTTACAGTCCAGGGACACCACCTGAAATCACACAAATTGACTATTTCATCCTTGAGAAATATCACAAACTTGTTTAAAATTTATACAGTAGCGTTCTTTTCGTTCCAGAGTACTAATGTGCTGACAAGTGTGTATGATAATTATATCTCGAATCGAGCACCACAAGGGAACGAGACATAAGCAATCTATATCGACAGACTATATAACATTCGCCGCGCATAGCAGCATACTTCAGAATCTTCATGGTAACACAACAACGCTATAAATTGTCACATATACTTATTGAGCGAAGTAAAGAGTGCTCTCATTATCACATTGACTACGTCAGCACACCCGCTTTGGTTTGGGGCTACACGTTAAGTGACAGTTTTTATAATTACAGACTGAAACAAGAATGAATGGCTATTTCTCTAGGACGCAGTCGTCCGTCCTCAACCAAGGCAACCATCACAATTTCCAACCTACTACAGTAAGTGAGGGATGCTATGATGAACCCAGGTCTACTGGCCTATTCATTTCACATCCAGAAAACCTGAACCAGGCAAACATGAATAGTCAAGAGCTCTTTCGCGCCAACTATATGAAAGTCACAGATGGATTACCGAATAAACAGCAATTGGTAGAACAGCAACATGAGGTAGAAAACAACTCTAGCAACAGTATTGCTGATCAAGCTGCGAGGGCTATTAATCAGAAGATGACACCACAACAACAATATGTTCAGCAGCGGTCAAACGATACACAGCCGATTATGTATACGCAACAGTCTGTGACTGCAGTGCCAGCGTCGGCTATGGCCTCGAAGCAGTTTATGATAGCCCAAAAGCACATTACTTTACAGCGGTCAGTGAGTATACAACATTCAATGTGCATACCGCGATCCGTAGACACACAGCAACCCATGACGGTACAGCAACATTTCAACAACATGTACTCTCAGGCTGTAGGTGACGACCTTGTACAGTCCAGGCCCGAAAGCCTAGAGCAAAATCTGAAATTGGGTGGGCAGCAAATGATGGGTGTACAACAGCGCATGAATAGTCAACAGTCTGTGAATGCTCAGCAACAAAGCATGTATACACAGCAGGTCATGCAAACACAACAAACCATGGATCTACAGCAACGCATAAATTCACAAAAAGCATTGAATTTCCAGCGACGTTTAGGTTCGCAACAATCAGTGAGTCCTCAGGTACAGGGAGGTGTCGCAGCAAATTTGCAGGTACAAACTTTCATGGATAATGTGGACCAATATTCAGAAAGGATTCCAGAACAGCAGCAGTATTCAAATCTAACTGCTCAGCCAATTGCGAATTCACAAACAATGCCAACTGGTGAGCAAATGCACCGGCACCCGTATCCTCAACAACTTCCTAACGAAGTAGCTGATCCCATGATGGGACCCCACAACTCAATGGCTATTAATGGTTCGGGTAATTCACCCCACAATTCTATCACAGACGTATGCAGCCCGAGCGCTAATGGTTTTCAAGTATCCAGCAATGTACATATGGAAGCGGATGTCAATACCGATATATTTAACACCAGTGTACTAGACTCTTCTGAGGTGATGCAGAGTAAGGAGTCTCTAATGCCTCAACAAAGGACTGCTCCTGTGGGGCTGAAGGTGAAACGTAAGCGGTCTGTGAACAGCAATGTATATAGTAGTCAGGAAGGTGATATTGCTCAAAGAGGACCTCAAAATCCAAACATGGGTCAAGGGTACTATCAGCAAGGTGCCATCGGTTCATATTCCATGCCGTCCATTTACGGGTGCGACGACACTCGGCTGACCCGTCACTACAGCATAGAATCGGCCAATACAGTAGACATCAATAACATGTCACATAATATGTCAAACATGCAAGTAGCTGGAAAGTGGATCACAGAACCATTGCAGCACTCTGCATCAAGCACAGATCTGTATCCAGCTACCGCGAACATGTTCAACAACGCTTCGTCACCAATTTCCATAGCGCCTAACAACATACGCAAACAGTGGGCGTCACGCTCTATATCAGTTCAGGGGAGTAGTTTTATACCAGCCGATCAGAGCCGCAGTTGGGAGCAGATGAGTGCCGCGCAAGTGGGGACGAGCTTCGGTTCGCCCCTGAAGTCCGGCATGAAGATGAAGAGCCACGGAGGAGGTCGCGTGCTGACACGCCACTCGTCGGTGGATTCAGGTAATAGCTATCAGTCATCGGCAGTTCCGTATGCGATTGTGGCGGGGTATGGCAGCCCGTACCATGTGGCACCCGTGCAGCCGCAGAAGAGCGTACGCGATCTCTCGAAGTCCCCAGTCACTTGCAAGTGGCTGCTGGAGAATTACGAGCCCACGGAATATACTGAGGACACGATCATTCGGGGTGAGCTGTACGAAGCATATCAAAGGGATACGGCAGACAACGGCGACTCCACATGCCAGGCAAGTTTCGGTAAGATTCTGAAACTGGTTTTCCCTACCGTGAGACCGAGACGCCTGGGAACACGTGGACAGTCTAAGTACCACTACTGCGGTATCCGTCGTAAAGGCACTGGACCCCCTTCCAAGCTTGCTATACTAACGATGGCTGCTCACAGCGGTCAACCGGAAATGTCGCAAGCACAGTTGGCGCAGGCATTCGCTATAGAGCAGATCAAATATTTGTCGGTATGTATGTGCGCGTGTGTGCTTCGTTGCTTTGTAGTTGATGGCATTTTGTCCACTGTTGTCGTTCAGAAAACTTAAGTCTCATTGAACATATATGTGTTTCATAAAGCATGCACAACTTTATTTCGAATCGAAAACGCCCTATTCTGATGTGTAACTTACTTCTATCACATATATAGGAAACCTCGCAAGCCAGGCAGTTGTCGACAGAAAGAGTACCTAGCACGCATGGTGTAAACGGATCGAACACTGACTCCGATAATATATCTGCTTAAGAAAGTGGAGGTGGCCAAAAGTCACAAAGCAGTATTATGGGGTTTTCAATATATATATATACCACTTCTAGCGATTAGGAACCCATGAAGTAGAAAAAGGGTTAACGTTCACGACCTCAATTGTATTGAGCTGAGCGGTGGTATATGGCGCTTGCGCAAAAAAATCGAAAAGCATTTCGCCTTTGTTTTATCTAAGAAAGCATCATCAGTAGATAGGTAAATGCCCATGAAGTAGAAACTATACATAACTTTAACATTGTACATAATGAAAACATAAGGCTATGCACATCTGCACAAATAAACACGTGTACGCGAGGCTTCATATTGGATATGGGTCTGTACATTTGCAATTAAAAACCGGCTCCCATCTTATCTGAATCGAGCTGCTGTCCTTACCAATCGATTATCTCATAGCATACCATAAGAAACTGCAACGTCTTTAAAAGTATACATGTAATTTATTACGATAAAAATAAACTCAAGGACTGCTAAATGAAGGCATACAAGCGAAGGGAAGTGAAGCGTGTACGACATATGAATCTGCCTTGTCTTTATACGGCACTATGGATTGAAGAGGGAATCTACATACAAGTCGCTCATTGTGCCCTCACAATTGCGATATATATATATATATATATATATATTATATATATACATGTATATATATATATATATATATATATATATATATATATATATATATATAGTATATAATATATACT